GCTGTTGAGAAGGGTGCAGGGGAATGGCGCGAAGTGGAGAAGTTGAGAGGTTGGTATACCGCGAAGATAGGTACTGAGTTGGCGAAGAAAGAGGAGGCGAGGGTTCGAACGAGGAGTAAAGATAAAGGGAAAGAGCCGGCAGGTGAAGATGCATGAGGGTTGTGGGCTTTTGCGCGGCGTTGAGGAACGTCTAGAGTGTAGTATGGTTATGGTATGGCGCATGTATAGGATTCACTGGGTGCATTACGTTCATGCTTTGGTGGACCACATTAGCATGAGCAGCACTGCATCACTTTGCGAGTCAACAAAGTATTGAGAGATCATTCATGTGTCTCATTGGTTTCTACCATATTCCTTTTCATGCGATCGTATCTTCATAGCCCACACCTAAACCCTGAAGTCTAGAGCCAGCTTTTCGCCCAGAGCGTCTATGACTACTAGGCCAGTCCGTGGACCGGCTGTCCGTCGCAGAAGCTCGTAGCTACTAATCTCGCTCCATTCTCTCGTAGTCTAACTGTATGAGGCGTCTATTTCTCGTAAACCCAGTCGTGCTGGGCGGACTTCCAGCTCTGGACCTCACCCTCCTTGAACCAGAGAGCGATCTCCTTCTTGCCGTTCTCGACGCTGTCGGAGCCGTGGCAGACGTTGCGGCCAACGTCGAGGGCGAAGTCACCACGGATGGTGCCGGGGGCGGAGGCGAGGGGGTTGGTAGCACCGAGGATGGAGCGGCCGGTCTTGACGGCGTCACGGCCCTCCCAGACCATGGCGCAGACGGGGCCGGAGCCCATGTCTGGAGGGTGTTAGTGGTGGGACTGGGTATATCTCGTTCGGCATGGCCAACGTACAGGCAATTAGACCGGGGAAGAAGGGCTTGTCGCTCAAGTCGGCGTAGTGCTTCTCGAGGTGCTCCTTGGAGGGAGTGACGAGCTTGATGGCGGCGAGCTTGAAGCCGCGGTTCTCGAAGCGGGTGATGATGGGACCGATGAGGCCACGCTGTTGAGTAATTGTTAGTATATGTGCTTTTTATGTTTTGTTGAGAACCCCGCTGTCCCAGTTGTAACAGCAGAATCATTGCAACAATTGATCCACTGTTGACAGCTTGAAGAGTACAGATTCGAGAACTGAGAGAGCAACATACCTGAACACCGTCAGGCTTGATAGCGATGAAGCTATTCAGCTGTCAGTATACTGTTCACCGCCCTTCAGCTGCCCCTCGTCTTGGGATCAGGATGCCCAACGTACGTCTGCTCGGTAGTCATTTTGGCGATGAATTGACGTTTGAGTTTTTGTGTAAAAGTGATATGTCTTTACGACTTGATGAGAGGAAACGAGAAGGAGAGGCGGACGTGTAGCTGGAATTTTATGAAGGGGGTGGGGTATCGACGCCCTCGTTGTTGTCTAGTGGGGTAGCTTGCATAAAATTATGCCTGATTTGTGCAAGAGAGCTGGACCCTGACCTTGGCGCTGCTTCAAAGTCCACATGGCATCTCGAGCGCTGAGGACTGGCCGATTGACTGATTGACTGGTGATATTCCAGGCTGGCTTCTGTGTATTAGAGAGCTGCCTGTCATGATTACTTTACGGAAGCAGCCTCCCCGGTGGACGGCTGTGTTTTTGGTGTTGGCGTTGTTGGCTTGCCTGTTCGTGCCAGCTGGTATGTAGCTAAGCTCACCCCCGATATCTCCAGTCCACGACGGCATTCTTTCTGCATACATGCGAAGTTACAAGGAGGTTACTAAGGGATATTAGTATCGGTCAAGCACGAGAACTTCAAAACATGCAGTCAATCGGGCTTCTGCAAGCGCAACCGCCAGTTCGCCGATGACGTCTCCGCTTCGAGCTCCTGGACCTCGCCCTACGTCCTCGACCCTGCCTCAATCACATTCACGAATGGCCAATTAGATGCTGTCGTACTCAAGACACTGAAGGAAGGCGAAGAGAAAGCTCGCTTGCCGCTTACCGTCACCTTCCTCGAGTCGGGCGTGGCACGCGTTACTCTTGACGAAGAGAAGAGGGCCAAGGGCGACATCCAACTGCGACACGACAGTCAAGCACGGAAGGAGCGATACAACGAGGCGGCACAATGGACTCTTGTTGGAGGGCTCGACCCGTCCAAGGGCGCTGCTTTCAACCCCGAGACGGAAGATGGCTACACCAAGGTTGTCTACGGCAAGGGCAGCAAGCACCAAGCCGTCATCCGCCACGCGCCCTTCGGCATCGAGTTCCAACGCGATGGCGAGACGCAAGTCAAGTTCAATGAACGCGGCTACATGAACGTCGAACACTGGCGACCCAAGGTCGAGAAGCCCCAAGAGGAGAAGAAAGAGGGCGAGGAAGAAGCCAAGGAGGAAGTCAAGAAGACCGAAGAGCCTGTAGAGGACGAAAGCACGTGGTGGGACGAGAGCTTTGGTGGCAACACAGACAGCAAGCCGAGAGGCCCTGAGGCTGTTGCGCTAGACATCACGTTCCCTGGATACGCGCACGTCTTTGGTATCCCAGAGCACGCGACAAGGCTATCTCTCAAGACCACCAGGTGCGCAGTATCCACACAAATACATCTACTTAGCTGACAATTCCTAGGGGCGGCGACAATGCCTACACCGAGCCATACCGACTGTACAACGCCGACGTCTTCGAGTACGAGATGGACAGCCCCATGACCCTCTACGGCGCCATTCCATTCATGCAAGCCCATCGCAAGGGTTCCACCGTCGGTGTCTTTTGGCTCAACGGTGCCGAGACCTGGATCGACGTGACAAAGAAGAGGAACACTGCGAACCCGCTCGCTCTTGGTGTTGAGGGCCATACCGATACTGAGACGCACTGGATGTCTGAGAGTGGTCTGCTGGACGTCTTTGTCTTCCTCGGACCGACTCCTCAGGATCTCACTCGCCAGTATGGTGAGCTGACTGGTTACACGGCTATGCCCCAGTCCTTCGCTATCGCCTACCACCAGTGTCGATGGAACTACGTCACCGATGAGGATGTCAAAGACGTCGACCGCAGGTTTGACAAGTTCAACATCCCGTACGATGTTATCTGGCTTGATATTGAATACACACAGGAGAAGAAGTACTTCACCTGGGATCCTCTGACCTTCGCCAACCCCGAAGGCATGCAGCAGCAGCTCGACAAGCGTGACAGGAAGCTTGTTGCGATCATCGACCCTCATATCAAGAATACGAACGATTACCCGATCATCGACGAGCTGAGGAAGAAGGACCTCGCTGTCAAGAACAAGGAAGGCAAGCAGTACGAGGGCTGGTGCTGGCCTGGCTCGTCCATGTGGATTGACTGCTTCAACCCGGCTGCCATCGACTGGTGGAAGGGCTTGTTCAACTACGACAAGTTCAAGGGCACTGCCCACAACACCTTCATTTGGAACGACATGAACGAGCCCTCGGTGTTCAACGGCCCTGAGACAACCATGCCCAAGGACAACTTGCATCACGGTAACTGGGAGCATCGGGATGTTCACAACATCAACGGTATGACTTTCCACAACGCGACATACCAAGCCATCACGGAGCGCAAGAATGGCGAGGTTCGCCGTCCCTTCGTGCTCACCCGAGCTTTCTACTCTGGTAGTCAGCGCACTGCTGCCATGTGGACTGGCGACAACCAGGCAGAGTGGAGCCATCTTGAGGCTTCCATACCCATGGTACTTAACCAGGGTATCTCTGGCTTCCCCTTCGGTGGTGCGGATGTAGGAGGTTTCTTCGGTAACCCAAGCAAAGAACTCTTGACTCGCTGGTACCAGGCTGGTATCTACTACCCGTTCTTCCGTGGCCACGCTCATATCGACACTCGTCGTCGTGAGCCATACGTCGCTGGCTCTCCGTACACGGAGATCATCACTCAGGCCCTGCGTCTTCGTTACCAGCTCCTACCTGCCTGGTACACTGCCTTCCACGAGGCTCACACCACCGGTGCCCCTATCGTCCGACCCAACTTCTGGGTCCACCCTGCCGATGAGCGTGGTTTCGAAGTCGACGACCAACTCTACATTGGTTCCACTGGTCTTCTCGCCAAGCCAGTCACCAAGGAGGGTGCTGACAGTGTCTCTATCTATATCGCGGACGACCAGCCCTACTACGATTACTTTGACTTCACCACTTACAGCGGCGCTGGACACCACACTGTACCAGCTCCTCTCGAGAAGATTCCTCTTCTTATGCAGGGCGGCCATGTCATTCCACGCCGCGACCGTCCTCGTCGTTCCTCTGGACTCATGAAGTACGACCCCTTCACTCTGGTCGTCGCACTCGACAAAGACGGTAACGCTGCCGGTACTCTGTACGTTGACGACGGCGAGACCTTCGATTACGAAATGGGTGCCTTCATCCACCGCCGCTTCTCCTTCGACGGCACCCGCCAGATTCTCACTTCCTCCAATCTCGACTCTAGCAAACGTACTGTCAAGTGCGAGAAGTACCTGAAGACGATGGAGAAGGTGCGTGTCGAGAAGATCATCATTGTCGGCGCGCCCAAGGCGTGGAAGGACAAGTCTGAGGTCGTCGTCATGCAGGAAGGTGAGAAGGAGACGCAGAGGAAGAAGCCAGTGCCGCTTGAGTTCCACGCTGCCGAGGGTAAGAAGGCTGCGTATGCGGTAGTGAGGGACCCGCGCGTGTTCATTACCAGAGGGTGGAAGATCGATTTCGCGGAGAAGGGTGCCGGGCACGAGCATCATGGCCATGAACATTGAGCTCTGGTGTATCTAGATGCATGGGAACCACGCACTGCAATAGGGAAAGGATCGTGGAATCTGAGATGAAACGCAATCTGTATAGAACTAAGATTACGAATGTGCGTCTTGCGCATATGAAGACATCTTCATCAGCGTGTATAGCTTCAGCCGCTCACTTTCTCACTGCTCGGACACTTTCGTGACCGGGCAGATACCACGGCCTCTCGCTCTGATCGGTGCGTTCTGTACGAACCGCATGTATGACGAAACATGCACCCTTACTCGCTGTCCGTTCCAATCTCAAGGTCGAACACTAAGCCATGGTATTAATCGCTAGCATTGCGCTGCGCCCCTTCTCATCTGCCTTTTTCCACACGCCATGCAGAGCACCGTCAAGCCCAACATCCCATAGGAAGCTCCAATCTGCAGTGAAGAACTCACCGCGTGGATAGTGATCGCCGAAGTGCTTCGCATCTTCTTCTGAGGCGCAGAAGGACACTGTTCTAACCCGCTGAGAGTTGACCACCCTTGTCTTGAGTTGGCCACAAATTTCATCAGCAATCCTAAGCACATAATGGTCCACCTTGTGCGAGAGAGGCAAGTCTTCCGAAAAGCCATAGATAATCGAAAGGCTCGCGAGATGGAGTAGAAAGATGCCCGCGACTTCATCGAACCATTGAATGATGCTGAAGCCTGCAGTCGGTTTGCAGTGCAGGCGGACGTGCTGCATTTCCGCGAAAGTCTCAGGTATGTCGATGCGGGCGTCTTGGAGCTGATCCTGGAAGATTTCGAGGTAGTTTCGGAATGTTTTGGCGCACTCGCTGTCCATTTCAGATCGAATCTGGTGACAGGATAGGTAGAGCCCGATGTAGGAGGAGAGAGGTGCTGTGTGCGGTATAGCAATGTAACCGTAGACTTGGTTGCGCAATTCGGCGGGCAGGTCAAGAAATGACGACATCTTGCACTCCGCTCTGGCAGACGCGGTTGGAGTGCTTGTGGTGGCTTGGAAGCTGTTGTTTGTTGATGCTTGGTGGGTGAGTGAGTGAGTGAGTGAGGAAGTGACCTGGATATGAACAACACGTACTAGTGCAGAAGGCGCTTCACATACGATGACATCAACGCCGTAGGCTGCTATCGGCAGGTCTTCCCGTTACTTGAACATCAACCCTCTCGTCCGACCGCCGACTATTCTATGGCTAATGCAATAGATGTGACTTATCTTATGGATATATGGCTGGAGGTACCGCGTGAACGGAGATCAGACCACGAGACCGAATTATCTTGACGATAGATCGGTAGCCGCGAGGGAAGACACGACGCAGCTATGAATGTGTCCGCCAATGAGTCAGACACTATTCGCATCATGGCTGACTGGCAGACTAGTGTGAGGAGCACACACCTTACTTAAGTCCTCAAGTGCAATATGTCGCACGACGCCATGACCACGCAGAACCGTGTCAAAGAAATAGACGTCGCACGGTGACCCAAGTGACGTACCAACATACTGAGTCTCGGCTCTTTATGAAGGTATGAGCTCAGTGTTTCTCTGATGGCGCAACGGCTATCGCAATAACACCATGCGATGATGGGTGGTGAGAACAATGACCAGACCGTTTCTTCACTGTGCGACTACTGCAGACTCAGTGTCTCCATTACACATCCGGCAACTAAATCACGCTACTGGCACGTTCCTTTCTCAGCCCGCTCGAACGAGGACAGTCAAAACACACGGCCTGGGTGACTGCTACTATGACTGCGAGAGAAGTGATGACTGGAGAGCACTATAAAAACTTCAGTGAGTTTGCATTCTTATACCAATACCACGACACCGCTACCAAACAGATCATCTCAATTATACGAAGCCCTTCAAAACAGCCACTACTACCTTCCGAATTGCTACTGGCAACGCATATCCGCAAACGAAGAAATCCGCGCATCAATCTGTACTCAGACACACTACATCATGGAGGATGAAATCTTTCAATCCCCGACGGATCTCTTTGCGAAAGTCACAAGCGACGTAACGATGCTCGGTATAACGCTCAGAAACCTACAGGCCGAAATCGACAAGCACAATGAGCCCCGACCAAAGAGCCCGGTGGACAGAATGAAGGATCTTGTTGGAAAGGAGAAGCGGAAAAGAGAGCGTGAGGAGAAGGCCAAAGCACTTCAAGGAAGGATTTCTAGTGCGTTCGACGAGTACGACAGGTTACAGGAAGATTCAGTTCGACACGGGGGTGAGAGTGTCGTCAGTCCGACAGAATCAGCACCTGTGAGGAAGGCTATCCGCGACTATGGCATACTCATCCAAGACTTGAAAAAGAAAATGGGAATGCGTACCGACGTGTGACCTCCAGAGATCAAGGGCAGGTTTGCGGCCGTTTCGGACGGCGTGGCGAGGTGAAGGGTCGTTGGTCTATACCAATCGGGCGGGGTGATCTTCATGTACACGTTACTCTAGAGCATGTGCTTGGAGTGGTTCACTACTCCAAACATATCATGATCTTAAAGCCATACATTAACGAAATCTACACCCTAAGCATATTAGATACTTCTCTTTCTTGCCACGTCTTACACATTCCTCAACGTTTCTACTCTTTTGAGATGTTCCCAATGTCAGCGTATAGGTAATATCAAACAGTCTTTCCGTTGCTGATTAGAGTTCGTGACGCTTGTCTTTGATACCTACCATCATCCCATATGGTCTTAAAAACCAAACCATACAGTACCATTTTGAGAGTCGCTCTAAGCCCTTGCAGTAGACATTCACATAATCTGACCAAGTATTCCTAGATTGCGTGTATGCGCTGGGCTTCGCCGGATGTGTTGCGGTAGATTTAAGAAGGGACGAAGACGTCACGCTCAACTTGGCATACTGCTCGGGACAATGACTTTACAATACCATTCCTCCGGACACTAGATTTATTACTGATTAATCGAATAACGTGTCACCAAGTATGCTTTGGAGAGGATTCGCGTAATATGGACATTTTATAACGCGTGACGTCAAAATGAACGAAGCTGAACGCAATTATTGGCCACTCACCACGACCCCGTGTCGCAACACCCACGTCAAATAGTTACACCAGACAATAGGAAGGGTTAATATCCACCTTCTTTACTTCCAAATTCTCCAAACAGCCTTTGCCTTCCTCTCATTGCCAATCAAATTCTAGTCGCCATGCCTCAATACCACACCGCGACCGGCACGGTCTCGTATCCAGATGCGAAATCGAGCTTTCCCAAGTTTCCGCAGGTCGGGTTCGGTCGCGCGGTCGCTATCGGTATCGGAGCCGGCTTCGTAGGAGCCTTAGTGTAAGACAGTCGCCTCCTAATCTTCTATCTGCAAATGCCTGACTTTCTCCAGCATGTCAGGATCGAACAAAGTCGAACAGTTCTTCACAGGCCGTCCAGACTCCTACGTACCCGCGCGAACGATGGGCAACCACATGGGTGTCTCGCCAGAATTCTACCAGCGCCACACCTTCCTGTTGAATCATGCTCATCACTTCGGTATGGGCATGCTTGCTGGACCTTTCAGAGCGGTCATGTCGTACTACGGCGTCATCGGACCGGTCGCTGTCTTCATGCACACCGGTATTCGCATCATGCTAGATCAATTGGTGGAGACCACGGCGAATGTGTCAATGGTTCCGTGGACGTGGCCGATCAACGAGCAGGTCATTGACATTGTGCATAAGGGGACATATGCGCTTGTCACTGGCTACATATGTGATAAGATGGTTAGGGGTGTTGACTGGTTCAATAGCTGATTGCTTTCGTTAGTTCAGCAGGCAGTGAACCTGAAGCATGAAGGGGGGCTCGGCGACTTGTTCAAGTCCCATGCTGTAAACTTCTTCCATATCGCATCCGCAGAGGCGATGTCCTGTCGAATGAATCTTCCAAATACGGGCGGCACATTCTCACATACATGATCGGTTAATTAGCAAATGTTGACCAAGAGCTCGTCGCTCTTATATGTGAGGGTGTTCGTCTTTTCATCCACCGCTGATAAAGAAATCCACCGTTGTCATGAAAATGTCAAAGTTGGTGGTCACCTAGTACAATGAGCCGAATACGATGTATAGTGATGTATTAAAATTTTAAGCGTTACTTTTGAGATGGAGCTTCGCAACACTAAAGCCCTTATGGCATGTTTGGATTTGGGGCGCCCTTGCTCAGCTTGAAATGGCCCGGATGCAAGTTCTGGAAGACGTGAGCGGGATCGTACTTTTTGCTCACAGAGACCAGTTTCTTAACATTCGCCGCTCCGTAACTAGCGATCGGATCCATGAACTGCGACGCGTAGTTCATGTAGATGTAGTCATTGTCCACGCCTTTGGCTTTTGCCTCTGCCTTGACCTTCTTGATGATCGTAGATAGGAACTTCAAGATAGTTGCTTCATCAGCTGCGTTGGTGAACGATGCACTCATGTTCATTATGAAGATAGGGCCTTTAGCGGGCGTAAGACCAAGGGCGTTGCCACCGTTCTTCTGCATACCCTTCAGTTGACCTTCAGTGATAGCCTGAATGGAGATTGTTGGGAATGCGCCTTGAAGATCTTGTACGTCTGGGATGAGACTGTAGAAGGTATTGACAAGGAAGCTGAATAGCTCGCGATCGACCTTGAATGTGGCGTCCCATTGGGTTTGGAGGGAGCCAAGCGTGTCGTTCGGTGAGCCACCATTCATCTTGACAGTAAGCTCGCTGAGGTAGCCAATTCCCGTGTCATCCATGACAGGCGTGAGAGCGTTGATATCATCAAAGACAGAGGCATTGGCAATGGGCTGGGCGTAATGCGTTTGAACGATCGCGATTTTGCCCATCCCTGGGTAGTTGCCAAATGATACGATCTCGGCAGCGTCGGTATCCTTCGAAGAGCCGACAGTAGCGAATTTGTAGATAGCGTCGAGGACGGCTGGGAAGTTGTTCTCTGTGAAAATGCGCTGGCCACCCCACATCTTGCCAAGGGGAAAGGCGTTGAGCTTGAAGTTAGTAACTATACCAAAGTTGTTACCGCCACCGCGAAGAGCCCAGTACAGATCAGCGAACTGAGTTGGGCTTGCGGTGACAACGAGACCAGACGCAGTCACAACCTCATAGCTAGCAACGTTGTCGCATGCCCATCCCAGCTTGTTCGAGAAGAACGAGATCCCGCCACCAAGAACGAGTCCCGGAACACCGACTGGAGCCATCTAAAACCATTTTAGCCTTTGTATCCCACACGTGAATGTAAAGAACCTACTCTGCCTCCAACAACACTGACACCAGATTTCTCGACACCCTTGTAGACATCGACCCAGCGAGTTCCGGCTCCAACGTTGGCATACTTCTTGTCATTCGACACTGCGACTTGATTGAAACGCTCCATCGAGACGGTGATACCGCCGTCAATACTCGACGCTCCGGCAAAAGCAGCATGGCCACCACCTTTTACAGCGAAAGGGCACTGCGTTAGGCGAGAGAGAAGAACTAGAGAAGACACTTCGATCGTGTTAGATGGCTTAAAGACACATCTCGGGTTCACGGTTCCCTGTTGAATGCTCCAATAACTGCCAGTAAAGGCGTCATACGCGGACGTCTCCTCAGACTGGAGCTTGTTGCCGCCATAGATCAGCTTCAGGGAGGAACACTGGGAAGCAGTCAGTACTCTAGATTATGAGCGAAGTGTTCGGTTCAAAACATACAGCAATAGAGCAACCGCTTGATGCAGTTCTTTCCACCAGACCAGAGAGCTCAGGAATAGCTGAGACATTGACGCCGTTGGATATCAAGGCTTCCGTTATGTTGAAGTCTGCGGGTTCAAAGATTCCATTCTGGGCTGAAACGGCTGCCACGATGGTGCTAAGCGAAAGAAAGGTCTTCATCTTGGACGTTGTGCGTAAAGAATGAACGATGCTGGGCGTGCTCGAGATGCCAGAATGCGGTGTAGTATTAGTTCAATTTATCATTCTGTACTGGAAGATCTTCCGCGGACCATAATTGGCACATCGTGCCCAGGTGCATGCGCGGTTCATCTCGCTTGGGGTTCCATGACTGCGTTGCTGGCTGTGAATGGCTCAATACTAGGGTTGTCGCATGCGAAGCTTAGCATACGTGCGGCGGTGGCAAAGTTCGAGCTTGGGACGCGGCGGAGTAAACCTTCCTGCGGGAAGGGAGCCCTTACTGTACCTACGGCTCGCTTGCATAGATTATATTGCGGCGGCAGACCCGACTGCTTCTGCCGTATCTACCTGTGTCATTGCGCTGGCACCCATCCTACTACATACCGTGACAAGAGAGAATGGTGTCCACTAATCGACGAACCAACCTCTTCGGCGAGATCTGGTAGCGATGTGGCGGATGATACGGGCGGACTCACGCGGGCAGTCGGTCGGCTGGTGCACGGGTGCGGCATTTGGCGCAGGTAGGTGCACATGCGGGACCCTGAACGCCAAGCGGCGCTTGGCCGGCGAGGCGGCAGCCTGCCGTCCGAGGATGGACGACGTTGTCGGCACCACGATCCCATGCCTGTATCGCGTCACCATCTATCTGAAGGCATTATCAACGATGCATCAACTGGTCAGCTGCCGGAATAGCAACTGATGAACGGCATCACTTAGCTGCTTCTCTTTCCTCGCAACGATCCTGAGTTCCTTAGGTTCCCGCTTCAATGGATCCATGCCCAGATGGGCCCGCACTCTACATCTGCAGTATGTGATTTTGGACGCCAGGTAGCCAATAGAATCCACAATAGAGATCCAGCAATCTGGTTAATGAGTACCCAGACACGCCATCGCAAGTGTGATCCCATCCGCCAGGACATATTACCTTTCTGGGGAAGTTTTTCTCGCTTCCTTCATGCGTTGAGCGCAAAATGAAAGGCCGCCACCGGTCGGAAGCCCTACACAGATACGCGGTACAATCCTGATTACATACGCTCAATACGGTCGCTCCTAGGGCCCACACGCGGACAATGCAACAAGCCGCAGCAATCTCTTCTACCAGCCTAATCCGGCCCATCCTCCCGGTGTTAGCCTAAGGAAACTTTTGTTTATGAGCCTGAGATCCTGCGTTCTAGATCGCATCGCATTTTCGGATACATACGACGTAGGATGCTTAGGACGGCAAGCCCAAACAGGGACAGGGTTTGTCCGTGACACTCAGCGTCCTTGAGGAAGGAGTCCACTTGTCAGTTTGGGTCAACGTACATCATCAGGTACCATTGAATCCTCATGCTGGCTGTCCCAGGGACCTGGGAACCACGCCGCAGAGCCTTCCAAGTCTTCCAAGAACCCCCGACATTTGTATTTCGACTCGAACGATGCTTTCCAGGACCTGTAAATCCGTTTGCCTATTGATTTCTCATCAACTCGAATGTCCGCACCCCCAAAGACACCTATCACGAGGGACGAGCTGGTGCGTGCAAACGCCGCCATGCTCGTCCTGACATCAACGATTGTGCTCTCTCGCATCACACTCCAAGTTTTGAAACGTCGATCATTCGACCTCTCGGACTTCTTCATTTACCTTGCTTTCGCTTTGTTCGTCTCAATGTGGACATGCTATCTGATGGCGGTAGGGCCTATGTTCCGGGTGTTCGCAGTCCTGGGAGGCCTGGCCGAACCCTACGCGACAATCATAGAAGATACCGCGGCCATGATAAGATTCATTGTGGCAGGCCAGATGTGCTTCTACACACTTCTTTTTTCGGTTAAGATGTCTTTGTTGACACTCTACCGTAAATTGCTAACCGGTCTGCCTGGTGTATACAAGAAGATATGGTGGGCTATCGTCTCGTTTTGTATCATCGTAAGTCATTTTTCTTACATTGGTCTCGTGTGCAGGATGCAAAGGCTTACTTCCGAAAGTCATGGATTGGCAGTGTTTTCAGCAGCATTTTTACGTGCGATAATCTCAAGACCAAGTATGCGCAAGGCAGATGCGTTGGCACCCCAAACGAGAACGACAGAATCATTTTCAGTCTTTATTTTGCCTACTCGGTAGACGTCGCTACCGACTTCGCAAGTATGTCGAATGAGCCCCTAACATTACACTAAGCGATACTGATCGGCGACAGTAATGTTTTTACCAATCCGACTGACTTGGAATCTCCAATTACCACGCAAACAGAAGATTGGTGTCTTCGTGCTGTTCGGCAGCGGCTTCGTATGTGTCGCTTTCGCCACGCTTCGTGTTGTACAACTCGGAGTCGACGGTCGTGGCAGAGCGACTACACCTGAGCCTAAGTGGCTATTGCTTTGGACTGTTGTAGAGTGTGCTATGGGTATGCTTTGTTTGAAGACCTGACGAATGCAATATGTACTGACAATATCCCTAGCTGTCATCATCGGATGTTCACCCGCCTTCGCGATACTGGTTCGCAAACGCTCGAACGCATCGAAGCCGTCCTATAACGCGCAAGGCTATGTCAAACAAGCGCCCGATAACATAAGAATGAAGAGCATGGTCAGCTCATCGATACGACGGCAAGGCGATAATCGAGATCCCTTATGGGGTGATGCGCATAGCAGCCAGGAGGAACTTGCGAAGAATGCCGGGCGTATCGTGGTTAAGACTACTGTCCATCAAGACGATGAGATATCAAGTTACAATTCCAAACGTGACAGTACCGGTGGATCATGGGCCGTTGAATCGCACACCGGGAGTAGGAATGTTACTTGTAGCACGGCTCGCCATTGAAAGGTATAGAAGCACAACTAGCATGCCGTTCAACATCTCCACACTCTATTCTGACTGTGATCTCTGTGACACATTCCCACAATTACACGATCCGCCCAAAGCGCCAGGAAGCCATGTCAGAACTATGTTAGTACAACCATAGAAACTACGCAACTAATCACACAGCCATGATCGACTCGCCGCCGTCTTCCGTTATCCTTTTCCGGATGTTGACCTTAAGCAGTCGACCCGTAGGTTTTACTAAGCTTCCGTCATCATTTTTCGCGAGTACAGTGCTCGGGCAGTACACAAGCGCTTCTCCAGTTTCTAATCCCTCGATCCGCTGCATGAGAGTCTTGTCGTCGTCGTTCAGGGCGCTGATATGTCTCTTGAGTGTGGCATACCAGGTAGGGCTCGAAAAGCGATGAATGACGGTCATGTTACAAAGCGCAATAAGATTTGTGGACACGTTCGGTTCTTGAGTGGAGATGATCATACGGGTACCCAAGTGCCGCTGTTGAGTGATGGTATGGTAGAGACAGTCTGCGAGAAACTTGGATCCTGGACTATCGGACATGTACTAGCGTTTTGTTAGCAAAAGCTCATTGGCCGAGAATTTAAAGCGTATACCTTGTGCGCTTCGTCCAACACTACCATCTTACCCTTGACGGGAGACTCCAGAAAGCGGTCCAAGCCCAGCTTGAAAAGAACACAGGCTGTGCTCGATGACATGAAAGCATCGGACAGATCCATGATAGTCATCTCGCCTGGAAGGAACTCTGGCTCCACCGCCTTGCCGTCCAGATCGAGGAAGGACTCAAGCATCGCTAAACGTTGTTTGAGGGCTTGCGATTGTGCATCGTTGAGATCTATCTGCTGAACTGCCTTGGCGAACGACTTGTAATCGAGTCGCCCATCTTCGTTCGTGGACGACATCTTCATGAGTACCATTTCGACCTGGCCCATGTAGAGTGGGGGGCTCTTATCTCCGATTCCCATCAGTGCACGCAAACCAGTGATGTCGAGAGCCCGGGCGTTGAGTTTGAACGGAATCACGCGGATGTTACGAGAAGGATCTTCGTAATACTTTCTGATCGCTCCATTATGCGCGGAAACCAACACCGTGATTCTTCGTACGTTTTGGCCAGGATATTTGGGCAGCGCACGAGATAGATGGACAGCTTCGCTGACGCTGAAGCCTGCACCACCGGTGCTCCAACTTCCATAACTGAAGACTAATGCAGAAGCAGGCGCTTCCAAACGGCCGAGGTTCTTGGATGGAATCAAAGCATTTTCGAGCATGCAAGCTGTAGTGTGACTCTTACCACTTCCTTGAACACCGCATATGAATGCGGACAAAGGCACATTGGTGTTGTAGAACAGCTTAACGGCCTGTCCCGCTTCGTCCCGGTGATTACCGATGAAGCCGAATTGCGGGACCAAGTCTTTCACGTGCTGAGCGATCACAGGGGCCGATAGCAACGGCGCGTGCTCGATATCTCTCATAACACCTTCAATAGTCGCATCAGCGTTATCGGATTGGAACTTGTTCGGAACGAGACTGTCCATAAGACTGAGATCTAATTCAAAATCCTGTCGATCACTTTTCGCGGGTAGCGGTAATGAGCGGGATGACTGAGCCATGCGAACTCCTTGGCCGGATGCTGAGACTGGGCGATTACTCCCTGCAGTACCATTATTTGGGACTGAAGATGCTGTCTTAGGGAGGGCTTGTGACGGCAATGAAGATGCAGGCCCCGATTGTTTTGGTACAGTTGCCGAAACTTGCGATGCTGGTGTTTGTATCGTGGGGGCCTTCGCTGATGTGCGGGATATCGAGGATGAGGAGGCCGGCAACTGCGTCGTTGGCGCTTGCGGTGCAGTATTTCCAGATGTTGTGAGTGTTGCTGGTTTTCTTCTGGCCGGTAAAGCTGCGGTCGGTCGTGAGTTTGGGCCCGGGGCGCTCTGTAATGGAGCGTGGCGAATCTGGGGCTTATCCTCTTCGGCGACGATTGCTGAGGGCTGATCTTGCGCAGGTTTAGGGAGAACCAATTCGCTAGATGCAGCGAGTGTGTTTGCAGGCCGAGCCTGTGAAGATGATGCTGAAGGATGGGGAGGTGGTGACGGCTTCGGTGCAGCATCCTGCGCTGATGACTCCGACCTGGTGGCGTGGGTGAATGTGAAATCGTAGTTTCCGGACACAAATAGATTATCAGATGCCCCAAACCCACCTGAGGGAAGGGTCAACGGTGGAAGTTGCGGCAAAGGCGCCTTCTGTGCTCTTTCTGGTGAGACAATAGACAGAGATGCCATATTTTGAGAGTTTGACTTGGAACTTGGTACTGGTGTGCTAACAACGCTCCCCATGTCGGATTCAGTGATAAGGCTTTGCGCAACTGTTGCTTCGTCATCCCCTTGAGCAGAGACGAAATCTGATTCGGTATGTTCCGAGTCGTTTGACGATGAGCCTGATGAGGAGGCATTAGAGCTACCGTTCGCTGGTGGATTAGCTAAGCCTGAACTCTGCTCATCGTTCTGAGGGGCTGTCGATGGCTGTCCGCACAGCTTCGAACGTTTCTCGACATTTATAGTCTCAATTCTGTTTGTTTCTTAGTCTGAATTCCGCCTATGTCACTTTGAAGAACGTACCTCGTGACGGCTGCTTGTAAAGTTGCGGGTGTAAATTCTGGTTTTAATCGCTCCATTTTCTCGACAACAGCATTGCGATCGCGAAACCGGCCTGTTGAATCTACCGCGGCATCTGAGCAAAGTCCCTACTGATATCAACCACATGAAACAAGAGAAAAGATCGGCTTTAGTAGACTGACGTTGCAGAAGGCCTCGCTCAGGCTAGAGTGTCGTCAGTTCTCTCGTACTCAGAGTACTAATACCACAGGGAACACAACTTACTATACAAGCTTGAAGTCGCGGCTAGGATAGCACAATGGGTAACCTTTTTCCATTCTCTCGCTTTGTCCGAAACCGCGGTTGTTGTAATTGAGAAGAGGCTTTTTGATATCGCGCTACGTGCGATAGGCTACTTCGTTCGGAAATTGAGCGTTGGGTTGAGATTGGAACAAGTAATCGCTAGTGTCGAGTTCAAATGTCAGTGAGCGCACGCCGAATCGATTGTGAATGCGGGACCGCCCTCGTGTGAAGTACGTAACGCACGGAAAGAAATAAGTGTCACGTTCCCGAGGTCACCGTTATCGATAAACCCCTGGCGCTACCAGAAACCCTGTCATGCATCCATGTAAGGAGAAGAATCTCACCAACACTCTGCATTCCTCCTTGCTCTGATAGACGTGTGTCTTGCCCAGCTGTAATTCCGCACAATCTAACCGATCTCTAGCACTGTTAGTATTTCAGGTAGGTGACCGACGAAGTATCGCTGCCGATGACGTCATACGAACGCGAGCCTGACGCGTCAAAGAATGCAGGTGTACAGCTGCCAGACCAACACCCGTAGGAACTTCCTGCACCTTCGCTACTCTGCACTTATTCGGGTTCCCATGGAAGTACAGCCGAGACGTGGAAACTTCTAGTCGACGAACGGCAAATCATGTTCGGTCCTTCTTGCAACACCGTAGGCACAGACCCATTCTCGACTATTCAGCTTCATTACGCATGTCATCAAGCATACCGACTCCTCTACATGAACTATTTCGGCCTTGACAGATGCTCCTATCAACAGTCTGTTGTACTTCAGATCATCCTCGGTCAAGCCATGAAGACAAAAACTTTGCTTCCGGCGCCGAATCACACACAAAAACCCGACGGCTTCACAGTGTCGCTTCGAAGACAGAATGCACTTATACCATCTCTCTCTCGTACGTGATTTGAAGTTGTCGCTCTTGCTCCAGCCATGACGCCGAATGCTTTACGATGCACACGTTGTTCAGCGCCCTATCCCACCATTCCGTCTCATGTTGATAGTTGCGACCACCTTCCGGACTTTTAATCCGATAGTTGGGCTTAGGAAAAGTACCTTACGACAGATGCAGCATAGATGGCTATTTTCCATTGCAGCATGGATCCATTGCTCCAAATGAGTGCGACAATAACTGTGTTGACATGCTGTGACTACGCCTGGCGGTGTAAGTGCGTCCTGGCACACGGCGCAGTCGGCATCAGTGAGGCCTTCTATGGGAGCTGATACGTTTTCGACCGGGATCGGTTCCCCGCGCCATTCCATCTGAGCGCCGTCTTCTAAAGCTTCTAAACACTCGTCTTGGTTCGTCTCGATGCGTAGTTCCAGCTGCTCTAACTCATCGAAGATATCGAAATTGGGCGGTACGCCGAGAGCCAAAGTATTGCGTTCCACATCAGCGTCGACTTCAGCCATGAGCTTGCCTTCCAGACGGCCGACAAAGGAGGTAAGTTGAACTACTAACACATAAGCTCTAGCGTTACGAATTAGGTGAATAATTCTGGCTTTCTCATCCGGCCCGTCGGTATCACTAAGGTCCTGGTACCATAGGCTCTCCATTACCTCTCTGCAACCATCATTGAGCGCGTATATTGTGCTGACTGCCTCCTTTACAGTCCATGACCACTGCTTCTCCGGTAAACAGGCCGCAGCATCTACCAATGTGAGAAATATTATGCCTTGGCGTCTCAACTCTCTACTAAGTCTCTCCAACTTTGCCCAAAATCTGTTGGGCAGTACGCGCTTTGCACTGCGTATGAGAGTCTGGAAGCTAACATCCTCTTCTTCGGGAATTAGTTCGAGCAATACCTCAGGTGCCGCGAAAGTAGATGAGTGGGGTTGTGGCCGAAAAGCAAGTCTCTTCAGGTCAATCCTTCCCAACAGCTCCTTCAAATCGTCACGCACAGTCTCAGGCCGTTGAGGCTCGTTGTCTTCCGCCAAATGCCGATCTGCAGCTGCTAGAGCATCATCCAGGCGCATCGATATGCGGTCATCGATCCAGTTACCGGGCATGCCTGATTGTCACAGAAGTCTTGGTGTGCTGTCGTTATTCCCTGCGGAGTTGATTTTCGTTTGGATAGACGGGCTGAACAGTTGGGGCTAATAAACAACAAGAAGGATAAGTAGGCTCTAATTAGCGGTAAGAATCTGTACAGAATGCACGTGTGCGAAGCAAAAGATGTGTATCAAGTGACCAGGTAGCAGTGAAGATCGGTTGGGAATGAGCAACATTGCAGCGCATTTGCATGTATTAACGTACCCCCAAGGCCATATAGTAATACTGTTCGCTATTTCGAGAAACTACCAACAAGGCAGTCTGGCAGCTAGATTGTTCTACATCGATCTGCCGCGAGTTTCTACTAGATCATGAAGAGAACGCCAGTGAACTAGACTAGAGTGTCAAGAGGCTCATCAGAACTTCTCGCAACCTTAAAGTCCACAAACACTACAACAGCAGTTAATTTTTCTAGTCTAGAACTAGACGTTAGTCTCTCTATTAATTATAGAAGAGAATTTTAACTTATTATTATTTATTTTATTTTATTTATATTTAAGTTTTAGAGATAAAGATAGAGATAGAAAATTCTTCTAGATACTTTCTTATATACTTAGTATACTTTCTTTTACTACTATATAACTATTTATTATATACTTTATAACTTTAGTACTATCTATTTTAGCTTTTTAAGCGCCTTTTAACGCTCTTATATATATAATAAACTTTTAATTTTTAATTACTACTTTCTTATTATACTCTAAACTATCTAATTTCTACTACTTATATACTAGCTATACATTATTATAATGTTGCTCTTAGCACCTTCTTACTCTTTACAAGAACACTACAACAGATTGTCACGAAAGCACCTAGAAAGAACCAACAAGGTGAAACAGCATCTTTATTGTCAGCCGATGTAGCCTATACCACTATCGGGCCTGGATACCACAGCTCCTCCTACCACTACTAAGTCCAATCCAATTTATACTGATCTTTATAATATAAACATATTTACTTTTCCTCCAAACTCGAAACCAATCGCCAGTCGTTTACGCGCCCTGGATGCGGCGGCAGAGAGGGCGGCCCCTCTCAAGGGTGTTGGGGTCGCAGTTCAATCGGCTGTCCTCGATGCAGGTCAATTGGGCGCCGCCTATGTGATGCGATTAGCTCCGAACGCTCATTTATGAATCATGATATATAGGTTACTCACAGTTGTTGACGCTGTCGGGGACACATCGGCCGCTCTGTCCATTGACAGTGCACACATCCTGCTTCAAGCTGGTGTTTGCAACACAGCACGCGCCTTCGGGAACGGGACGGTTGTCGTTGGCGCCTTGAGGCCTGGCAGCGGCGAGGGCAGAGAGAGCGAGGACAATGGCGGAGATGGTGAACTTCATTTTTGCGGTTGAGTCGGTTTTTTGGTGGTTTGGAAGGTATCGGTAATAGTGTTTGTGGTTAACTGATTATTGATAATGAAGAACCGACCAGCGGAAGGAATAGAATTGAATAGAGAGCGAAGTAGAGAGTAGTAGAGAAGACTGTGGTTGAAGATGCTGATGAGGGTACAGTTCGGCGCGGTACCAGGCACCTCTTATACACAATGCCTCAGGAAGTTCCGCAGGCGTAGATGTTGGCCTCGGCCCAGCGAAGACTTCACGATGCATTGCTCTCCCTGGCCGCAACACCCGTACTGCATCCTGCATCTGCCCCAATTCCCCCATCCAACGCAAAAGTTCCACCGGTAGAAAACACACGAGACAAACACAAAACAATACAGTCGGTCGCGTCGGCCTGGAAAACACGGCCACATGCCTGCTTCGAGCATGGCGAAAACGGGCGCGTGAAGAGAATGGATACCTTGGCGCTCAGGCGCCCTTGAAGGCATATCACGATACGCAGATCATACAGGAACAGTCGCTTAGACCTTCTAGGCGCTTTGCGAGACGTTGGAATGATGGCGGGAGGGTAAGGAGGGATGAAACTGTCATGCTGTTTGGGTGGCTGGGGTGAAACGTTACCTAGCTTCCGTGGAGGGCGGCGAGCCACAAGCGAGTCGTGACCTCCCGAGGTCGACAGTACATTGCGCCTCATGAATTCGATGAACTCCAAAACTTATGTGTTTTTGCCATCTTTTGAGTCGGCCTACGCGGAAGAGTCGCTCGTAGGTCAAGGCTAGCACACGTGTGGTCACAGTTCAATTAAACTGCAAGAAACTCGATGCTTCTGAGCGGAAGGAAGTTCTAGTTCGATACAAGACCACTGTGCAGTAGTGTTGACTGTGGATGCCTGCAGATTTGTATTGGCAAATACCTAGTCTTACAACAGCGCATATGCACTTGCTCTTTCCAATGTCAACAGTGGTCGGAGGTAGTCGCGAGAGCGCAGTCGCGAGATCTTAATATGGCTTGAACCTTGCCTTCTCTTTCTTGTCCTTGCGTCTCTTCTTCGCTGATCCTGCTCCTTCATCAACGTCCATGGTGCTATCTTCTGAAGGTTTCCAAGCACGAATGTGCCCATCTTCGCCGCATGTGTATGTTGTGTTTGTCTGCCATGTATGTCAGCTATAGAACGTCATGTCATATTGTAATGAGATTGTGCCTACATGAGTATCAGTGAAGAGATCGCGGACAATCTCCTCGCTGTGGGCGCCTGGGAAGGATATGCTCTTGTCGAGATCGAAGCTGTAATCCAGAGGTCCATTGGTACCTTTATCGATCGGTATGAGGTTGAGAAGATTCTCGCTGTGACCACTTAATACTGATAATCGCTTTTGTATACACCACAGATGGAAGACATACCTATGCTTTCCTGCAGCAACACAGGCTTGTTGTCC